AGAAGTCATGAATATGCCTCACAGGCGGTCCTGCACCAGGGGCTGTTGATGGATCACCACGGCGCTACATAAAAACGAAAGGTAAGAAAGAACTGAAAGAACGACAATGTACGTGCACATTCGTAGGTACCCACTTTACTGTCAGGGGTTTTCCCTTTTTTGTAATTTACAAGTAAGGGCATGTTGATTTTATTATATGGATGGCATCCTCTGGGAACCCCAAAACTGATCCGAGCGTGCGAATAAAAGTTTGGCTAAAAAATTGTTTTCATTATGAAATCTACGTGGTTTTGAAGGTTGAACGAATGACACGAGTATGGTTTGGCAAATAATCTAGTCTTCAAATTCATTTCTTTACATTTTCGTCTTTTACGTTTGATTTTGGCATTCTACGACATTGGTGACGTTTCCAATGTTTTTTTTGTATTTATTTCACCAGTAGTAACACTCAGGTACCTGTTTTTCAGGCAATGCTGAGTATACAAATGACGAAAAACGAACTATACAATAATAATAAGAAGAACTTACGATGGGCTACCAGAGAGAGAGAGAGATGATTCAGAACGACATGATAAAAATTAACTTACACAAATCTTGCAAACAATGTTCCCCACTTTCTTCGGCAAAAAAATATACATTTAAATAAAGGTCTGAAAAGGTAGTACATGTATTTGGATTCCCTGCAATTTTAGATAAAATTTTGGAAAGATGTTTTTCCTTGTACTAGGGGTACAAGATGGTAAAAAATATTAGCTACTGTTGAGTTGGTTTGTTGCAATATGTTAGTTGTGTTGGATTTTTGTCACGCTAAAATCGTAATAAATGCCTTTGAATACTAGATCAGACTTATAAATTACCCCCCCCCCCGTGCTTTTGCCTCTGTTACACGTGTATGCCATACCTCCACTGTACAAGCGAGTAAGATGTTCAGATAAAGACGGATCAATAATTTCTCGGGAGGAAGGGCACACTTGGGCGACATGGCTCACCGAGATTCATTTTCTACATATTTTGGTACCCATCGGCTGTTCCCGAGGGACTGCAACATTTGCCTCTTTGCTCATAAATCAAACATAATGAGACAAAATCCTTCGGTTGGCCCTGTAGACAGTGTCTCTGCTCGGCCAATTAGCCCTGGTTCTGCAACATGGCGCAGTTGACTGTGTTCACGTAAAAGTTAGTGAGAGGGAGCCAGCGTCTACCAGCCTTCGGGAGGCTGATGGAAAGAGTAGAATCTGGCCAAATAGAGAGATACATATATGTAACATGACAAACTTCGGTTGCGAAAAACTGTACTCTCTAGCTGAAAAACTTAATATTTGGTCAATTTCTACTTTTTAAACCGCCTCCCGAAGTCTGATAGAGGCTAGAAGAGGTCGAAGGCCACTGTGTCTTGCCCTTGGGACTACGGAATAGGCATACAGGAACACGAAGGCTCTTTCCAATGACTCAATGAGGCAAGTTGCCAGAATCGAAAGAAACGGGGGGATCGTTCCAAACTTTAGAGGATAATGAATTTGGTGTGAGTTGACAAATTGCTTCAGCCAAATCAATCTCTATCTATTTGACTTCTGATGCGAACCCTCGGTCAATACATGAAAAAATAAAGTAGCAATAAAATCATCTCCTATCTCATATGCATGGAGAATAAATAGACTAATTTGTCTTCAACAATTTTGCCTTCTTGAAACGACCGAAATAATAGAATCCCAATAATGTATAAATACGTAGGAAGACAAAAAGACCTTTTTATGGTTGGCCGTTACGATGTTCATTTCTTCAAATTAACAAGATGTATTCGCGTGATATCATTCTAGACTAGACTGTCTGCATCCTATACTGCTGATCCTCGTACCTTCTGGTCGTATCGACTCCCATTGATGCAAGATAAAAGTCACCTTGCTTCTCATTTGCTAAAACACTGGGTTACAATGTTGACAAAACAGCATGTAAAAAAGCCAGACTAACTGACGACTAATACAGGCAATATGATTGATGCACAATTGTATCTTCGAGAAATATTAGATATTTGCATTGCACGTCGTTCTAAAATACCCACTTGCCAAATGAATTGCTTTGGGGGGCCCTTTGCCATTTTACTCCGTTCCATGTAATAGACAGTGATTGATATGCCTGTCTGGGGTTATAATATTCGGCTGGTAGAAGATGATCAGGGATAATGGTAACAAATGCTTTCTATCCCGCTATTGCGTCCACAGATGGTCCCTGGTAATACATGTATGGCATTGGCTCAACTATCAAAGGTGCAGTACCTTAAAACCTTGCCAAAAATCATTGCGGTTTTCCAAGCAATTTCGCTGAGTACCCAGCATGTAAAAAGAACTGGTACATTTGTTAAAGGGTACGTCCACTTTTCTTGCATCACAAATACATCATTACCAGTCGGCTCAGGAAGTATGGCGAATGAAAGTAATGACAGTGATCCCTAGACCGGGCAGAAGGAACAATCAATTCTCTCCTGCAGCTATCCCCTGATAATGGGCTTGATGCTCAGGACTGGCATGATAAAGCATCCCGGGCATCATGTCCTGGACCTTTCTCATCTCACCATTGATAGATCTACATTGCTCCATCAAAAAAGGCATTTGGCACATTGTTCTGTAGGCTATGAAGCACTCTTTTATTATTGCTTCGCCATTGAACGCCTTTAGCAAGCGTGAGTTTAGTATGATGGTGTCGTTCCAACGTATATGTGGAGGGCGGTAAATTACAGGGGAAGATTGTTTTCCTCCAAGTATAGCGGGGAATATTGCATGGCTGTAAATTATCTGCAGCCTCCAGGCGTTCTCATAGCAAGGTGGCAGACGTTTGATGACATGCAAGAACGACTGCGGAGCGTTTAATGAACTGAATATTACAACTCAGTCTATTTAATTTTTCGTCACACCAGAATGTAATCTGAATCGGCTCTCTGTGTTTGCATTGTTTGGTGTTATCACTGTTTGAAGAGGGTTTGTTCAATCATCATCATCAACGCAGTTTGTTCAATAAAGGCAGTTTACATAGTGGAACACCGTGATCAGCTACTATATGTAGGCATAATGCCAAGGCTGTGAAAGTTTCTGCCATTATTTTATCTATATAAGTCTGGTCTGCAGTGACAATATTATCGCCTCAAGCGAATGTCTGTCTCGGATTTACTATTTCTTTCCTTTTTTGTATTGGTGAAGTTCAGAATGAATTACTTCTGCAGTCATTTTACCACCAGAGGGGTGCAGGAGAATATTGATTGCTTGATGCTTCTCCAGCGTCGGAAGGAAGCGTGTAATAAGGAGATATGTTTCTTATCAACACTTCATTTTTATTCCAAATGACGCGTGGCTTTTGGCGTAGTGTGGCAGTCAGGCAGTATATATGCACTACTTTGTACAACATATATCATGGCTGACAATTAAACATTACATGAGCAAAATAAAGTATAATAAAGATGCTAGATTTTTAACGACGCCAAAGTCGCTTGTGCTTCGATTATGTTCTGTATTTGATTATCAAGGATAGACATTGTGTTTATGAACTATGGACATGCATATGACAAGTACATATTTCATGTGAGATATGTAACGATTAACCATTCGGGTCTGTACAATCAGCCCTAAATTTAAGTCGGTTGTTAGCTGGTCATGGATTTTTTAGATGTCCAACTGATAGAATTTTCGTGTTTGTCTGTGCCGGGCAAAGGTCTCCATTACGAGTAGGCACAGAATTAAGGCCCATTTTGAGTAAGCATTTGTGAGATCATCCAAACCAACTGTAAACAACCCTTTCCTTGTCATATCTTGCTAATTGCTGCTGGCATTTTACAGCTGGGGGGTTTCTTTCTTGTTACTTCCTAAACAAAACTGACCTTTGGGATTGTTTTCGATGTTGGGTAGAGCTCAAGAAGTGATGCTATGTTGTTGTGTTTGATGGTGTTCAGGGGGTCAGAGGTCATTGTGGCCATCCTACGATGATTTTGTGTTCAAAAATAAGAATTTTGGGCTAAATGGACCATTTGGAGGGCAAGCTACACTGTCAATGTGAGTTTTCAATAGTCGGACACTCAAGTAGGTGATTTTTGACAGCTCATTTCTTAGATGTTTACCATATATATCAATGGGAGCTCGAAATGGTGGGCTGTACCCTACCAGCTGTGACGATTCTAATACTTTGTGGTATCCCGTAGGACATTGCAAATACCAGGGACTTACAGAACTTCAAACACAAAGTCAACGTATATCCCAGTGCTACTGAGTTAGCGTACCGTATAGCTAATGTTATTACCTCCATGAAAAATGGAGGTATTGTTTGGCTTGTCTGTGTGTGTGTGTGTGTGTGTGTGTGTGTGTGTGTGTGTGTGTGTGTGTCTGTGTGTCTGTCTGTCTATGTGTTTGTGTTTCCGCACATTTGTAGTCAGCATAACTTTAGAACGCCTGTATGGATTGTTATGATATTTGGTATGTTGGTAGGTAATAGAAAGGCAAAGGTCAAGGTCAAATATGGGCCTCCTGGTGGCTGACCTTGGTTCTGCAACAGAACTTCCGGTTTTCGTATCTTTTGTCCTTGACATGCTATGGTCTTGGATTTTGGGTAATAGATAGCTTTTTCTGTCAAGAACATGTGGTGTGGGTTTTGTCCCCCTAGCAGCTTGTTCTGGTTTTGTACTGCTGCTAAGCTGAGGTATCGGCTATACTATACTAAAAAATATGCACGGCTTTGCAAAGTCAGCTTTTGTTTAATCACTTTCGTTCTACGGTCATTAGATATGATCTAATTACTTTTAACCTTTCTTCACCACCAGGCCCTACTGTTTGTATTTTGACTGTAAAACATAATTTCTCAACTTGGTTTCAACATCATCATCGTGATCCTGCCTTTCTAGTCAGACCAATAATGGCCATTTAAGAAAAATGTAGGGATTGTTTTGCATGAGATTTCTGTCTAAAAATAGGACCTAGGAATTTAAAATGCTGTTTATTTCTTGTCCAGTTCCCCCACCAAAGCGCCCAACGATAACGGGACACAAGGGACCATACGTCGTTGGCGAGGAGCTTCAACTGGTGTGCCGCACCAACGGGGGGAAACCATTACCTTCACTGATGTGGTACAACGGCTCGGAACCCTTAGACCCTTTCGGAACCTTCTATCAGGATGCACCAATAGACGACATCGTGCAAACGGAACTGCGCATCCCCTCTCTGACGAAATGGGAGGACTCCATAAACATCAGTTGCGTAGCCGACCAGGGAGTCCAGGGCGTGGCATCACAGAAAGTATCATCAATTCAACTACACGTCTACTGTAAGTCATCGCGTTATCGTGGCTACATCTTTCATGTATATTAGACAATAGATTGATGATTCTTTGCCAGCTGCGATGATTAGTTTTGTTGTATTCAATCAGTGAAATATGAGCTGCCAAGTGATGTTATTGCGATTGCTTCAAGATCAAAAGCTGCAGATGTTGTTGCTCACTTTGTATTCACGTTTGGGGGGAACAACCCAGTCTGCTGCTGCAATACATTTTGCCAATCACTCGAGGTTTTTCTGACATCTGTCAGAGTTATTGAACCTTATCATAAAATCTACTCAGTGGCATCTAAGCCTCAACATATTGAATAGAATCGCTCCTCGTTTATCACTTGAAGCCACTTGCAGCAAGTCTTTTTGCACTACTGTTTATTCAAATATTTTCACGCTTTGAGCGTGTAGTTGGGCTGTTGAAAACAAAAAGCTGCAACTTTGCAATTGCTCCTCGTTTATCACTTGAAGCCACTTGCAGCAAGTCTTTTGGTACTACTTTTAATTCGAATATTTTCACGTTTTGAACGTATAGAAAACAAATAGCTGCAACCTTGCAAACATCTGCCACTACACAAAATTCATTCTTTAAGCACAACTTGAACAATGCGTAAAGGCTCTGTTTCTTGCCTTGCCTATGACATTACGCTGCTTTAAGGTGTGGTTAGAGATAGTGTTTTTGTGCAGTGTGTACATCTTATGATACATCATATGATGCAAAAACACTCAGTGTCTTTAAGATCCCCTTTTCTTTACTCAGCAGTTAATATGATTTCTTTGTTGTTAATTTTCTATGTTTGTTTATAGACATTGATATGCAAATTCATTTATATCATTTGTCATATTTTTTTCTGTACTTTATTAGTCTGCTCCGTTTTTTTATCATAACTACCCTTTGATTGTACTTTAGTACCCTTTATTATGTTATGTTACTAGTATGTTATGTTATGTATGACACAGGGAGCTTTGAAAAGCGCCCAAATGGCGACATGCTTACCTGTATAAATAAATAAAAATGAAAATGAAAATTATGAATATTTCAGAGCAGTACCCAGGCGTCGAGAAAAGCTTAATCCTCGCGACAGAATGTTACAAAGCATCACCAGAGACTTCCATTTGCACCCATTAGCGGGTAATGGATTCACTGAGGAAGAAATCAAGGGCCATTAAAGGAAATAAACATCACTATGAGGTTTAGCATAACAAGGCTCGTATCTCACGTTAATTTCCTTAATCGACGAAGGCGTACGTCGAGGCAACCCGAGACATTTCCTGAATTACCACGTTGTTTCGGCGCTACCACATCATCATTACCCGTATTGCAATTCAGTGACCCATTTTACCTCTGCTGGGTAAATAAGCCCTTTTAGTACCCGAATCCATCTGGCTCTATAGAATGATGCATTGTGCCCGAAGGCAACTGCTATAACAAGAAGACAAGATGAGCACCCAAAACGTTTCCAGCATACCGCTTTTGGTACATAATGGAGTTAATGTAGTCCCTCTTACACCTACTCAATCATCCAGAAGCATGAAGGATATCGCTAATGTGCAGGCGCGTGGCGTCCTGAGTTATAGACGTTTAACTTAATAATGAAAATTGGGATAATGTGAATCCTAACGATAATAGGTTTAGTCGATGTGTTTGAGTATAAACGTAAAAATGCACCATTTTTACAGGAGATTGGGGTAATACCAAGGGCAAAGCAATTATTTGCTTATTGATATTAATATGGATGATGATGATGATGTATTGTTAGTATATAAAGTATTGCTATTGTATGATGTAGTACTATTTCTTGATGATGATGATGTATTGTTATTGTAAAATAATTATATATTCCGTACGTCTTGTGTGTTGTCATGGATTGTATTATGCTGTATGTATCAGTGGTAGCCGCTACCAGCCTTGCTGCAGCCTAGCTACCACTTGCCATGCACTGTTGCTTTCCCTATAAATGAAATGAAATTAGAAGGAACACATATGATACCGGCAAACGTTCCATTTTTATTATTAATTAATGAATTTTCAATGAATTTGTTATTTCCTTTTAATTTTCAGATTCACCGACCGTTACCGTACCGATAAACTCTATACAGGCATTGGAAGGGACGTACGCTAACTTAACCTGCCTCGTGGAGGGCAACCCTTCACCGATTATCAGTTGGACAAGAGACGGAGACAGTCTTCCGCAAAATGCAGAAACAAGGTAGTGTGCCTCTGTAGCTGGTTGATATCTGCATAGTATTGGAGGGTGTTGTTTTGCTTCTCAATGTTCTTGCTAAAATATATCATTACAATTTCAGGACATTATTCTACTCACCAAATTAAATATATGGTAAGGCCACAGCAAGTAACTTTTATGCATGACATCAGCGCGCGCATTAATTTTCGCCTGGTTTTGGAGAAAAAAACAAGAAATTTTGTTGCCCTCTGACAGTGGTCAACATGCCGAAAATGGGCAAACATGTCTGTTGCCGTGCCGGAAGGTGGATGGCAGATAACTATAAAGAGAGGAGACAAGAAAAGGCTCTGATTCAATATTTTGTTTCTTACTTTGATGCAGTGATACGTAATGCTGGCTCTTACTGAATCAAAAGCATTTGTACAATGATTGAGCAAAAAATTTAAAATGTAGGAACCTTGTTTTTTCGGCCGGCCTTTTTTTTCGCCAGCTCGCATTAGATTTGGAGTCTGCGGAGGATGTCACCCATAAAATTTACTTGCTGTAGCCTAAGGCACGCGATCCCACAGTATATCGACAGGCGCAAAAATGAGGTGTCATTGCCTCTGTCATTGTGTGGTGAGAAGTCTCCTGTCGATTGAACAGACAATCACATGGTCCCATAGTGGCGTCGGGTGGCGTAGTGGTAGAGCGTTCGACTATGACGCGGGGAGACCCGGGTTCGATCCCGAGTTGTACCCGGGACATGTCTGAACATGCGCCCCGACGTTGTACCCTTGGGAAAGGAAGGCACTTTACACAACTTTCCTCACTCCACCCAGGTGTGAATGGGTACCTAACTTCGGTTGGGGAAAGTCGTATTGAGGTCACCTGGTGGTGCCGAATGGCTGCCGCACAGACCCTTGCGACAGTTCCACATAAGTGTGTGGAGCAAATATGTTATATGTATCATGTGTATTATTGTGATTATTGATTGATTCTTATGTGATTGTAAACCTATTGTAAACCCTGCATCAATTCAGCGCTATAAAAGGCTGCGATTGCACGGGTAATGTTTGGCCAATAAACCATTTAGACCAATAAACCCTACCCCCCCCCCGTGTTGTTGTAAGATCACTGCCCAAGTTGTGTGTATATTTGTCTGTGAAATAGACTGGAGACATTATTCTCTTTGGATCTTGCTAAGAATAGAACTTGCTGAAAATCTGCAAGCTGCCGGCTGTTTTTAAACGCCCAACGCATGAAATAAAATAATGATGCCAATGTACTAATAGACGTAATAAATGTCAATATAACACATATTGCCTTGATGCAAAATATTTTTTTAGTATTAATGCACTGGTGTTACCTTTGGTCCCTTTAATCTCTAACAGTATAGCCATTAGATTTTTTGCCAACAAGCTATCGGTGGGCAATCACCGGAATAATAGCATTTTACTCTCTAGGCTTCCCGTTGCTTTTGCATAGTTGGAAGGCAGACCTAGCCAACAATGTTAACAAAGGTGCAAGGTAAAAGCAATTTCTTGAACTCTGGCAATCAGACAAGCCTTAGCAATCTATGCGGCATGATAAATGAGCACTTTGTATTCAAAAGGCAGCATAAATTTCATCTCGCGGTTGACAAGGGAAAGGCAATAATGTTAATAGCATGTACGGTCACGCATTCATTCAAGCTCATAAGAACCGCGTGCTTTTGAGAAAACTCACCGACGCATTGCAGTGCTGTTAAGCCTGTGAGAGATTAATGTAAGTCTTCATTTACAATCTGAAAATTATACAAAGGCAGCAAACTTGTTGGTGAACTCATTCATCTGGCTTAGTTGCGGCTGTGTTCTCAGATGGATTGCTAAACCTACAGATGTAAATACTGTTGCAATGTTATTACCTTCCCCAAGAAGATTTTCCATAGCGTTTGTGTGTACGTGTGTACATTGTACGTGTATATTTATGTATGTGGTTTAGCAAGATAACTCAAGAAGCGTTAAATGGATTGTCATGAAAATCAGTGGGTGGGCAGGTGTTAATAAGACCTAGTGACGATTGGATTTTGGGCCCCCTAGCGTCTTGTAATGATACTGCAGTGGCACTGGTTTGATATCTCATGATCTGGACATCCTAGGGTCACACATTTTTGATGGCACGTAGTTATTTTGTTTGGGGAGAAGTGGCATTAGTTTTTTTTTGTTCCTGAATACTTTCCTCCTATTGCTTTGGGCTGAAAACGATTGCACTGACTCTCATTTTTCCCTTGGATTCGTTGCAGTAACTCGTCGTTGCTGATACCGAGAGTGTCCCGGTCAGACAGCGGTGCTTACCTGTGTGAAGCCGATAATGGGATCCAGCCAACAGTGACAGGAGAAATCAACATGGAAGTTATATGTACGTACCAGTTGTATCTGAATCAGTATCGGGGGTGTTGAAGGTTATATGCAGAGAGCAACTATACGCACATTGGTTCCACAACTATCAATCTTCCCTTATCTCTCAGACACAGACTTTCACCCAACTCTACAGAGGATACAATTCTACCCGAACTATTGCCGTAGGGTGGTAAAAATGTCACTTCCGCGTAATTGTCAATCTCGAGCAAATAAAAGGTTGGGCGTTTCATATATATTCAGTTCTCTTCAAAAGAAAGGGTCATCACATAGACATTGAAAAGATCATATCTACGATGTTCTGGGGACCAGTGGGACACACTACTGTATCTAGTCAATGGCATACTCTTTTCTTGAATATACTGATGTTTAAACTTATATTAAAGCTTGCGTAAAGGTTGCGTTATTTTAGTCGATTAACGGTTCCTTTACGTATGCTTTAATGTATGTTTAAGCGTCAGATCAGTCCCTGTTACATTGGCCTGCAGCTGGTACAGATGCTCAAATATCGTATTTTTCATGCAATGAGAGCGTATTATGCAGTATACCTTCAGGAAACATTGATGCACATCTCTGTAATTCTTTCAGTTCCTCCGAGGATCAAGTCAAGTTTCGATGGAGAGATAAGTGTCTTGTATGGACAGAATGTCTTCAGAGTGGACTGTCTAGCCGAGGGAAATCCCAAGCCCAACGTCACGTGGCGGCGGAAGGATACAAATCATCCGTACAAAAACCCATTGACTCTGTCGCCGTTGAACTATCAAACAGAAGGGATATATGTCTGCGTTGCGAAAAGTAAAAGATTTCCTGAAGTTACAAGAGAAGCATTCATCAATGTGATAGGTAAGCTCTCAGATTAAAGGCACAAACACAAGTAACAATAGCAGGCTTCATAATATCTTTATATATTTTTTGGAGTGGAAATAATAGCTAGCACACACATTTGTGAAACATCTACATGACACATTGTGTAATCTCCAACAAGATTCATTCGGAGGCATTGGACGATCAAATTGACCACCAATTGAGTTAAAATTTGCCTCCTTGGGTAGTTTATTGGATACTGCTCGGCGAATTTGATAAGTTTGCGAATTTTATACTGTATTGCAGTCATCAAAATTGCTTGAAGATTATAAAACACCCACAACATCAAATATACATCAACCTATCAACTTTTAGTTTACGTAAAAATGAAACCATTTTAGAGAATAAAGTTAGAAATAAAGTTCTTTGAGTGGATCATCTGAATGATTTTGCACAACATTTAGGTTTACTTATTTGTTTCATCTTGAAAAACACCCTTCAACATTAGTTGTTGCTTCCAAAAACCAGTAGAGACAGATGTTTGTTCAACCTCAACATTTGGGAAGCATTCACAGGGAAGCTTGTTCCATAGTGATGTAGTTAAAGGAAACAAGCTTTCAGCGTGTAGATTTCTCCTGAGAGATGGAGTATTTAGGAAGAAAGGGTGATTTGCCTCCGTAGTATGCCAAAATATGTCCTGGCCTAGAAAGTTCAAGGTGGGGGCACAAGTTCCGCGGAGCATTCGCCATGGAAAAAACGATAGAGAAGCGACATATTTGCTAAATTACGCTTTGTGAAATTGATTTATCTCACGAAAATGTCATGTCCTTCAGGCCGCCCTGAAGTTGTGACTGAAGCCTCCTCGGTGTCCGCTGCCGGCGGCGACACAGTGGAACTAACCTGCACGATAGCCTCCGACCCTGTACCCGAGGAAATTATCTGGACTCTAGCGGGAGACGACGGCAAAAAGACGGTATACCGAACCGGGAGGACCGAGGATGTATTCGTCAAGAAAACAGCAGTTGTTGGGGACAAGATACAAAGTGTTTTGATCATAAGTTCAGCAGAGTCTGCGCATACAGGAGACTTCGCCTGCATTGCCTCCAATATGTTCGGCCAGGATAGACAAGAGTTCAGGGTGTACGTCACAGAAGGTGGGGGCTATCTTCAGATATTATCCAGTACATCACCTTTAGATGCATGGAGATATATTGATAGTCAGTACATAGTGCAGTTTTGAGAAGAAAGAGCTATTGATTTTGAGTTTAAAGGAGCTCTACGCAATTTAAATGGTGCATTCTGGCCATGATGTTCAGAAAGCAAAAAGCATTTTGATACAGTATCTCCTTGGTTTATGAGGCAATCGTGATGTAACTGCCTTTTGCAAAGTAAGAAAGAACAGTTTTCCTCGGCGAGATGCGTACTTTGACTTTTGAAATGTGAGATCTTTTCAAAGCGAAGCCATCGCTAGAACATTACATAGATCAGCCTGTTTTGGCGCCCGTGAAATTGAGTTGCCATAATGGCACGCGTGGTCGCCTGTCATAAGACGAGCCCAAATCCACACGCTGATGAAAACGAATGTCACTTTAACAAAGTAGAAAATGGCGACGTCCTCTCCAACAAAGCAGAAAATAGCGATACGCCTTGCCATCTGGTCGGGTCAACCAATCGTGAAATGTCTGATGCTAAAGTAGTTAAAGACAACAAGGATGGCGACACTGAAGGTAATTTACATCAATGGATAAAAGAGTTGGCGGTTTGAGGCTAACAAATCATTGGAGGTTGGGAACTATCCATATCGATTTTGAACTAAAGTAGCCCCAGCGGGCAACTGTATCAGCAGAAGGTATCGACTGACTGGATGATGACCCATATGAACCCGTCCGCAAATACGCACCCGCCAAAGCCGCAAATGCATCATGCCAGGCAGATAACTCTCTGCATTCAATTGCCGTGCGTTAAAGATCTCCAGACACAAATCTTCATCTGATTCTTTACGACCTTACTACAGAACTCTAAGAACACTTGAAAGCTAGAGATATTCAGAAGCGTTACGTTACATTCATTCTGGGTTAATTGTTACAACGAAGTCTAATCGAATGTTTAATCGATGACCTTTTTAACCTTAATATAGCATTATTCACCTTCTACAGAAAGCTCTGATGTCGTGGTGATTGCAGCAGTCACCATGGGAGTTGTACTGGGAGTTCTCTTCGCCGTGATGGCCACACTGTGCCTTAGAGCCAGGAACATATGGACGTCGTGTCGTCTGTCCAAATCTCGTTAGTACATATTTGCCACATATCGCTGTAACCTGCGTGCATTTCATGTAATAACTTAAACTCTAAAAGTTTCAGTTTATTCACTTTACCAGAAGGTTACACTCAAGTCAATTGACCTGTTTTTCAGGTGGTTCTGGGACAATATACAATTAATACGAAAAGTTATACAGTGACACTAATAACAATACATTTTCCACAGCCAAAATGCATAAACTCGTGTATTTTGCCAAGATATCATTGTCAGTGTTTTATTCTGACTTTTATAATATCAAAACAAATCCATCCACTTTGTTGGCACGGTGTTTCAACAACTAAAATGTGATACATTCGATATTCTAAGCATGCATTGCGTTTGTTAAGACTAATAGCCACAATTTATAACCACTTTCTTACATACGTCTTGATGAGTGCTGCAGTGTGAAAGAAATCATGTTAAGTATTCTTGTATGATACCATTACATTACATTATTACGTCACAGTTTGTTTACCGAAATGAATGCCGGGGCAGTTTGTGGTCAATAGATGTTTATATTGTCAGGTGTGTGTGTTTGTGTAGCGTTACATACACTACTTTCGTCTACTGTCACAACTAAATAAGTCATTACGGCATGTAAAGCTGTGTAAACAAAAATAGACCCAGCAAAATCAAATACACCTGACTTTAAAAAACTTGAAATGGTCTTTATTCTTTAAATGACTGGTCTAGAATTTTCTTTAGAATAGGTAAACAAACTGTGACGTAATAATGTAATAGGTCCATTGCATGTGGTTTCAAACTAGTCATGGATGTGAATTTCTGAATATGATATATATGATTGGGACTACATAGAATCCATGTTCATTTGTCTATCTTGTATAAAATTTGTGCACAAATGTTGGTATAGATGGTTGCTGCTTATATTATATCGTACTTGGTATATAAAAATTTCATACGATCGTATTCTTACCGAATGAATATATGTTACAGCAGAGAGAGGAACACGTCGGTCCGAGTCCTTCTCATATTGTGCGGGATCAGAGGACGAGCTTGCAGCAAAGTCGTCATTGAATATTAGGTACGTGATGGTGTTTGTAACTGACCCTCACAGATATCCATGTTATCATGGAATTCGAAGTTCATCTGTGTTGGTAGTTACATGTTCAGAGTTAAATGTTAAATCATACAGATCATGGATATCTATGAAAGTTCATCTGTGTTGGTAGTAATCATAGTAAAACATTGAACTTTATTCTAACACAAGGGTAACAAAGCAATCAATTTTTCGACGATGAAGGCGACAGTGGTCGTCGAAAATTTGATCGCTCTGTTACCCCTGTAAAGTTCAATGTTTAACATGGATATCTGTTAAGAGTTAAAACTTTTCTTCCAACACAAAGGATGTTCTTACCTAGAGCTTTCAAACAGCCACTCTGATCTTCTTCGATAGACTGACCCAGTAATACTTATCACGTGGCCTCTCTGAAGTGTGACATCAACACTGGGTCAGTCTATTAACAAAGATCAGAAGGACTGGTCGAAAGCTCTAGGTGAGAACACCCTTTGTGTTGGAACAAAAGTTTTAACTCTAAAAAGATAATTATTCATGTTTTGTATAATGAAAACAGAATTATCGGTCTAACCAGGGAGATTCTTGTTTTTGTATCCAAACCAAGTTATGATAGTCGGCAGAATTCACATTTAGCACCCTATTATTAATATATGTACTGTGTGAGATATCATAGTATGTCACAGTATAAAGCTTACTTATAATGTCTAAACATACTTTGGATACCATTACACATTGGAATGTTGTTGAATATTAGTGAACCATAACTGAGTTGAAGCACATTCATTTTTTTTTCTCTTTGTTTCCAGTTCCAAAGTTCCTGAAGACGAACTGGCCACCATTGAACTGCAAAAACTAAACGGCATTTCTACACATCGTTCCACAAGCAGCCTAAACAGCCAACCAGTTGTCATATCAAGCCCATGTACGTTCTACTGTTCTTGTCTAGTGTAAGGTACATGTATACCGATAAACTATATCTAGTTGCAGCATTGATATCAACAATGCATGGTCGACAATATGTCAGACCATTACTCTTGTTAGACAAATTATTTCATGACATCATTTTCAAATACCACAATGTAATGTGCATCAAATCACAAATTTAGATTCAGTTTGCAATAAAAAACGTATATTAGTCATTTTCGCAGTATTAGTAATTCTCAGCCGACGTTTCGGTGACCGTCTGTCACCTTCTTCAGGGCAATTCTGGCTGGTTCACATTGCACAGCACAGGTGTCGCTGCTATAGATGTGTTCCCAAACGCAAAGTATTTACATATTTACACGGGTACATGGAACAGTATCTACAATGCAGCCCCAAATAGTGATTATCTATAGCAGCGACACCTGCGCTGTGCAATGTGAACCAGTCAGAATTGCCCTGAGGAAGGTGACAGACGGTCACCAAAACGTCAGCTGAATAAAGCCCTTGGTTGTGTAAAAAGGTCTCTTTCTTCAGTGATTTACCAACCCGATGAAACTATTCACGGAAGACGTATTTTGTTTGTGCAATTACCTAGTTATCCATCCGGCTTATACGGTCCACGAAACTGCAAAGCATCCGCACCAGTCGATCCAAATTACAGGAGAGCCCGGAAGTAGTTTTGAAAATTGGCTTCGCACAAATTGACTTTGGGAGAAATTGTTCTCAATTTGCGAGCCATTTATCTATGGTAACGTCCAGATGACAGGAAATTGAAAGAGACTTGATCTTCACTTTTAATCAACATAGAAGCTAATGTACCTTGGCGCAATCTTCTCAGTGTCGGTATCAACACAAAACAGATGCACCGGTTTGGCTTACCGCTTACGATGACTGAAGCGGTGAATATGGTAAACAGACGGAAAATTCACACACGGCTCAACGTGTTAGATATGCTTAAAATACACCATATTTCAGCCATAAGGCTTACAGGCGTCCCATCCAACGCTAATCTAAGTTGACAGTTACAATCAGATTGTGAGATAAATGATACCATCATCAAATTATATGTCTAGTCTTGTCTGATAATTAGTGGTTCCTATTGGGAAGATTATTTGAATGTCATGATTTTTTAGTGAATTTTCAGTAAATTTTTAGTTCGACATACATACTAGTCATTGTTACATCATAGGGAAATATGCGGTTCCAAATGTAAAGTGTTTCTATATATAATATAAAATTTGTTAACTAACAACACTGAGCTATCGCAGGCCAAAATAGAAATTATTGTTAAAGTACTGTCACATACGTATTGTATTGTTACAAATTATAATAGTTATAAACAATAAGAAATCAAATGTCAGTTATAAAGAATAAGATCCCGTCAGAACCAGTCAGAATTGCCCTGATCAAGATGACAGCCGGTCATCGAAACGTCGCCTCGTGAAAAATAAATGGTTGTGATCAAAGAACTTTGCTATTCATTCGTTTACCAACCTGATGAAATTATTTACGGATTTATGCAATTCAGATTACAGAATTCAAAAATGAATATCAAATAAGGAAAATGTAACGAAGGTGGAAAAGAAGCAATCCTTACAGTTTTTAGCTAATTCAATACGCATTCAATACTAATGACACTAACAAATAAACAGTCAGATAATAACAAAAATATAACTAACAAGAGTTCCACGACCTCATACCTTCGCCAAATGATGTTAACCCTTGCGGTTGAAGAATTATACAATTTTAATAATTGATTTTGCAAATAAGATCCTCATTTGCATGGGTTATATCAGTTGATCATATTCTCCACCCAATGACAGTCTTATCTTAACAACAAGGCTATTATAGCACTTCCTCATAAATTATGCAAATGAGGTCATGATTTGAATAAATTATGTTTATTGATGTTTGCCTTCACTTAACTTCCAAATGTGGCAAGTATGAAATTCCCAGCAGTTACAACTATAAAATTATAAAGATTTTCCATTAATTATGCAAATTAGGTCTTCATTTACATAATCTATATCCTCAGATTTTTTTTTCATTCTCAATTACATTTAACAAGTGTTTCATAGTCCTATTATCGAACAATGCAGAGTTTTAGAATTTCCTCATTAATTATGCAAATTAGCTCCTGATTTGCATAATTATCATTTGATTATGTCAAGCATCACTTCAGCTACCTACATACCAAAAATCATGACAATCCGTCACCCGGTTCCTTAGTTATCATCCTTCGAAAAATTTTCAACAAATGCTCCTGCAGTTCCAGAACAAGCCGCTAGGGGGCCCAAACTTATGTCACTTCTTCCCTACCTCAAGAGCTATCTACCAACCAAAATTCGTGACCCTAGCATGTACAGATCGCGAGATATCAAAACCGGAAGTTCTGCTGCAGTACCAACAAAAGCCGCCAGGGGGCCCAAAATCTAATCATTTCTAGCTCTCATGAAGACCTACTCACCTACCAAGTTTCATGACAATGCATACTAAGCTTCTTGAGTTATCCTGTTCACAGACAGACAGACGGACAAACGCTACTGAAAACATAACCTTCTTGGCGAAGGTAATAACTTATAGTGAATAATTGTAATCTTAACCCACTTCATAACGATAATTTTGAGTTATAAACCTACGGAAATAAGAAAGGGAAATGTTGATTGTTGATAAAATAACAATGGCATCATGACATATGAATTCAACAATTGCATATATCTGCCCGATCCAGTTACAGAGATAAAGAGAGCGGAGTATTCCCGATTCACAACAGACAGAAGCAGGTGTCAGGATGAGGAGGAGGAGGAGAAATATCCCAGGCACTGTCCTTATTACGTCGGAGAGCTGACAAACAGACAGGAGACAGTGGTGAGTATTATTTATTTATTTATTTCTGTTTTATCTAAACAGGGTAGAAACCTCAGTGCTATTTAAGAACACTGCTTTTCAGGAATGCCCTGTAGCAACAAGTTACACATGAAAGCAATGAAATCGACACATTAACCCTACCTAGACCGGGGAGGGGGGGGCTAAAAGTGCCCGCGCCAACTTTGATGTCACATAGCGTCTGAACGGCTAGCCGTAGAACGGCCAAACTTGGTGACTTTTCCTAGAATATTGTTGGCAACAATTATCTATTATTGGAATAAGATAATAATTTTTTGTGTTGCCATGGCAACGGGTTTCTGGCAGGCATTTTTTGCTAAATTTAGTTCTTTTTGTTTCAACAATAGAATTTTATGAGTTTTATGTCAAGTTACTTATGGTTTCTAATATTAATAACATCCCATATATTTTTATGTAAATTCTGTCATTAAATATGCATAATTTATGCTAATTTGATGACGTCATTGGCCAAAATCCAAGATGGCGGACCATATCATTAGAACAGGTATATACAGGTTATTTTCATTAAAATTTCATCAATACTTCCATTTCTTTTTCCAAAAAAAGATTTAAATGAAGGTCTTTAGTATGTTTACAATGTAATTTAGACTTTATCATGAAAAAAAACTATTTTTGAAAATTCAAGATTGATGATCTAAGATGGCGGATATCTTAAAATGCATGACGTCATTTTATGACGTCACCGGTGTTTCTATGGGCAACATAAGACTTAGTACACCCTAATATTCTGTCATAAACACTTTTGGTACAGTTATATTGAATACCATTAGTTTTGAGGGAAAACCTTATCTAGACGGTTTTGGCCAATAAAATCACATTAATGACGTCATAATGACGTCATATTACGTCATAATGACATAAATTTTAGATATGATACATTTTTACTAGTACACCATCCTCTGAAAATTTGGTGGTCAAACGACATACCGTTCGCGAGTTTTGAGGGGGGGGGCTCTTTTGACCCGGTCCCCCCATGCCAAAAAAAGCCCGGTCTAGGTAGGGTTAAACAATACATAAAGATACAAAACAACCAAGCATCAAAACAAAATCGTTTACCGTAAATCAATGTCGTTAAGCCAGGCCAAGGTCAGGAGTCATTAATTAGTCACTAATGACCGCATTTTTTTCTCATCTTGCGTCGTGAGTTCCAAAACAGATTGCATGCATTTACTTATGGTTTGTAAACCCTTTGTTTATTCCAACATTTAACACAGATCTCCCCAATACAATCCTTTAAAAGGGGGAAAAAGAATTATTTCAAGTGTTCTTTCCAAACAAAAACAAAGAAGATAAAGGAGCCATCACGTGGGTATCATCCTATTCTACCATAAACAAAGAGTTGCTAATCTGGATTGTGATAAGTTGGATTTAGAATACAAATTTCCTCAGTCTGCAGAAGAGACGTATACACTCTATTGTGACGGGCAAAATGACTCCTCTCATGAGAATTCCATGGATAATATGCTGCTTATAGACTGGATTAATGCTTTTATCTCCAACCTTTGTAACTTGCACGTTGCAAATTGAATGCCAAGGCCGGATATGCCAGTTAGAATCGAATTCAGAATCTAATAAAATTACCCAATGCTGTGCAAAAATTATATTTTGATATATTTCTTAATGAAACATATTTTTCAATAATTCAAGTTATTTTGTGTAATTAACTTAAAAATACAAAGACCTAACTTTATATCTATTTAAGCCACCCAGGTGATATACACTATCAATTAGGTATCCTTAATAATCGACATATCTGTGTGAATTATTACCTTACTTATCGGGTCTTATACCCCCTCTGAAAGGTCTTCCATCTTGATGAATTAGAATTGTCTGAGCGATGAACCCTCAAGCCAATGAGGATTCCCTCAATACTCTGGGATTGTTGACTTAATGTGAGTGGAGACGACACCAATATGAAGCTTTGTATCGCCAAAAGGGATAGGCACAAGATGATACAGTTATCCACATAATAAATCATGCTAAGTACATTACTTCTGTATCTAATACTGTTATGTACCCTACCTTCATCCAGAAACTTCTACCGTCTGCGAAGAGGAAAGAAGACGGTGACGAATCTGCAGACACCATTGGGTCAGATCCCGAGGGGTCGGATATCCAGGCCAAATCTACTGATCATTATCAACCTGAGGCCGTCACCCAAACAAACTTCGTATAGTGAGGACACTGATGAAGTGCACGGTTCCAGCTCAACGATCGAGAATTCTGCCATTTATGTGTGACAACCTGGACCTCTCTCTAGTAAAGACTCATTCAAGTCACTTCAAATTGAAGGTCATATCCTGCATCCAAAGAAAACAATACCAATTTTACTACAGCTTACTTCTTCTGAAAATAATTTCATCAGAATGGTAGAATATATGGATTTTTTCTTATACAACCCGTACTGTATCAGAATGGGCTGTGTAATTAGAAAACTCTCAGTGCCATATGAGCTAACTTCTTATAAAGAAGCCCCCTCCTCAACTACACAGCTTAAGGCCAGACCAATTTAGTTTGTTGGTTCTCGGATTAAAATAAGTAAATAAAAAAAATATGAAGCGACAGGGCGAATAAGAAAAAACAGGCTAAGTCACCCCCAAAAATTTGGCCAAAATGTTACGAAGTCAACATACCTGGGTGGGGTTATGAATTATTTTAAACTTTAATGAAACCACTGAATTTACAGACGGAAAACCTTTAACAACTAGGAAAACAGGGACGTTTTCAACTGTTGGAGCTAAAATATTAGTATTTTGTAGCTGATCCAAAACTTCAACTCTTTTCTTTTTTTTTTTAATTCAGAAAAAAGAGGTTTATCCGAGAACCAATCGATTAAGATGGGCCTAAGTAAAGGGAAACGTACTATACACACGGGCACTATTTCGAGGAGATAGCTATCATACAGTAAATGCTGTTCATCAACACTGGTAGCAATAGTTCCACCAAAATAGCGATTTTATCTCTTAAATGAGATGTGTTAGCTACCATTTGAACGTATTTCTATTATTTTCAAATGATGGGTTACAATGAGTTATCTGAAAATAGAAATTTGCCCTTACAATGTCAAACGCGGTCTTGGGCAAAAGCCGGTTATCCTGGTTGCATCGAAGGGTAAAAAAGTACTCTTGTGCAAGCGGGGGGATTTCGTAGCGTTACTTGCACTCCGTAAGGAATTGTGTAAGCAGGTAATTCTACAATGGGCATCTTAAACACGATGTTATCAATGCTGGTAACTACCTCGAAGACTTTCCAAGTCAGAACACAGTTACAGCCTGAGGACTAGGATTACGCTCGGGTATTTTTCTAGACTCTTTCGTCAGCCAAATCGTGAGAGGGCAATGCTTCAAAGAAGGAGAATTGCTCTCTTGAGGGAGTTGCGACTTGGGTGCTTTATTTAACAGCGTTTGGAGGAGTGATTATCATTCCTGAAACGTCCATGAAGAGTTGCCATCAGAATCCTCCATGAAGACTGAAAAGGAAAGCTGCTGAACGGAATGGCGTTTGTGATTTATCGATATGGGTGGCTAAGTGTAAGAAAACCACAATGAAAACATATTTTTGGTCTCTCTCTAGATACAAAGTACCTCCTGGTGCTACCAAATGAAGCATAATATTTCCCCAGCAGATAAATCAAATGCCAATCTGTGTAAAATGATAATTTTTTTCAATATTTAGCAAATTGTCAAATACATCTGTCATTAATTACAATTTTCAGAACCCACGTGACTTGTAAGAATCGAGTATTGTAGAATCTCTCTGGAATATTACTTGACATTACGATGGACATTAAACCTTACGCATCTTATTCAGGATTCAATATCAATGTTGCAATCATTTTTATAAATAATTATTCTTTAAGTGAGAATTGCAATTAATAAAGACGTACAGTAATATATTTCGGCATGTACACGATGACAAAAAATACTAATAGGTCGATTATGAATAGTCACATAACTTGTGAATTCATTTATCTTTAGTGGGAGTCTGTTTAATGGTATTCACACATGCTTATTGGGCATGTTGGGGTCACCTTTCATCAGATGTAATAACTAAGATGTATTACATCTTCAGAGTTCACTGTGAAGAAATCAACGATCTATTTGCGGGTTGACTGCTTCTTGTAAACAGAAAACATGGAGGTTTTCCTTCAAAATACTGTTGGGCAAACAGACACAATCTTAATTTTATTCAACACACCATTTGTAATTTTAATGGGTATGTCAGTGGTAAAGGCAAGGAGAACAAGAGTTCCGAGATCTCATACCTCCATGAAATATGGGCTTGACATGTAAATGTAAATTTCTTCTTTAATTATGTAAATTACATCCACATTAACATAATAAATGCATCGTGATGTTAACTTTTGATTAACTTACACATGTACCAAGTATGAAATTCCCATCATTTACCCCTAAGGAGTCATAGAATTTTCGCATTAATTATGCAAAGTAGGTCATCATTTGCATAATTGGTATCTGTTGATGTTCGATCTGCCATAGATTACATACATTACATGTATGAAAGTACTATAATGTAAAACACTGTAATTATAGAATTTCCTCATTAATTATGCAAATTAAGTCATCATTTGCATAATTTGTAGTTAATTATGTACATCTCTCTCTCGGCTACCTACCTACCAAAAATGATGATAATACCTTGTTCCTATCTGGACTTATTGGCTTTTAAAGATTTCACCCGAAAATCTCCTGCAGTTCTAAAACAAGCTGCTAGGGGGACCAAACTCACGCCACTTATTCCTGACAGGAAAAGCTATCTGTCACCAAAAAGTCAAGACCATAGCATGTTTAGGACAAAAGATACAAAAACCGGAAGTTCTGCTGCAGTACCAAGGTCATCCACCAGGAGGCCCATATTTGACCTTGACCTTTGTCTTCCTAAGACTTACCAGCGTACCAAATATCATCGCAATCCATAAAGGCGTTATGGAGTTATGCTGACTACAAATGTGCGGAAACACAAACACACAGACACACACACATACAGACACACACACACAGACAGACACGCCTCCATGGAATATATGAGTTTTTGTATACAGTACACTAAGTGTTTCAAACACACAGCTAATCAGGCCTGCAGCTAATACAAACCCTAACCCTGAAATAGGTCACCTATTCCCCTGAGGGAACCCCATTAATCAAACCGGGTCCCAAGCGCACTGACTCCATAGCCACACAATGACACATCTGTTGGCTGCAAAGGAGATTCCTCATTAAACCGGAAGTGCTACTGCACTACCAAGGCCATCCACCAGGAGGCCAATATTTGACCTTGACCTTCGCCCCCCAACACCTACCAGCATACCAAATATCACCACAATCCACGAAGGCGTTATGAACTTATGAAGGTACAAAAAAGCGGAAACACAAACACACAGACACACACACACACACACACACGCACACAGACGCGCCAAAAACAATACCTTCCATTTCATGGAGGTAATAAAGCTAGCGTCTTGTTCTACAAAATACATGATTTTAGGTGCGATTAAATATCGGATTTCATGCAGTCCATGTGATCTCACAGCAAAAGCATCTATAACAAGAGATCTGAGATCACATACCTCCATGAAATATGGGCTTGACGTGTAAATGTAAATTTCCTCTTTAATTATGCAAATGACCTCCACATTAACATAATTAATGTATCGTGATGTTAACTTTTGATGAATTTACACCAAGTAGGAAATTCCCATCATTTACCCATTGAATCTTCGCATTAATTATGCAAATGAGGTCATAATTTGCATTATTGGTATCTGTTGATGTTCCATCTGCCAAAGATTACATACATTACATGTATTAAAGTACTACAATGTAAAACACTGTAATTAGAGAATTTCCTCATTTATTATGCAAATAAAGTCCTCATTTGCATAATTTGCATTAAGTTATGT